AAAAAAAAACAAAAAAGGCTTTTGTAATTGTTTAATAGACTGAGGTAACTAAAAATGAAAAGTGAAAGTGTTCTTTATAACCTTACTACTTACTACTCTTATTTTGTAAAGACTTTTACTGGGTCAGAAACTTTTATTCTAAAATTGCTTTTCAGTTAGTAATTAATTTAGAAGACTCAAGGTTAAAGAAAAACTGAATAAAGGGTAAATTGGTATAATGACATAGTTTATTCTAAACTTATYTTTCTTAGAAATTTTAATTTGTCTTAAGGATTTATGGTTGTATTTATTTGTTTAATGTATTAAGTCCAACTCATTTCCAAAAAGACTTGAACATTGCTTAAAATTTGAGATAACCAAGTGAAACCATCACAGATTTAAATTAAAAGAAAACAAAAAATGTATCTAAGAGTGAGTCTAAGGGAAATAAGTTACCAGGTACATAGACTAAATATTGCTGTTCCGAGGCTCTAAATTTGACTCGCATAAAAACTAAAAAAGAAGAAAATATTTAAATTATATAGTATTTGGTGTTAGATAAAAGAAAACCTGTGATTTCTCTGAAAAATCCCATGTTCTGTGTCCTTCCCCCTGCCTCTGAATTAAATGAACTCAGAGAAATTAATTTCAGTAAGGTTTGAAAGATAGCATTTCTGTGGATGCCTGAAGTAATTATAGGCTATTACAGGAACAGCTATTAAAGAAGCGAAACAAGTCTTAGATGGGTCTTAGATTGTAGACAGCTAATTAATTAATTAATTAATATTAGCACACATATTTTGTCATTTAAATTGAAAACTATATGTTTTAAATACCACCATACATAGTCACTTAGATACTTAAGTATCTGTTTGTCTCCCAGACAAGGTCCATMAACTTCATAGGCATGGGTCTAGGTCTAATTCCTTCTTCAGAAAAGAAGAGAGGTCTCAAGGATTTCTACAAGTTTTTGTTGAGACATGAATATTCTATACCTAATATGAAATATAACTACCTGAAAAAAAAATACTGAGTTCTGCCTTATCCCTAGACCAAAATTCTTTAGCACTCTTGTTAGATGGAGTTAAGATATAATTGCTAGCTTTGTTTGCTAAATAGTGGCAGTTTTGACTAGTAGAATTTCTCATTTGTGTTTGAGAAAGTAGACTAATAGAGGCTRAGTGTGAATTCTAGACTCAGTCCTCCTAGGTTCATGTCATATCTATGCCACTTATTTTGTGATCTTGAACAAATTGGTTATCCCTTTGTTCCTATGACCTCTGTAAAATGAGGAAAATAATACCTGCTTAATAGGATTGCTTCAAAGGATTTTTAGGGTTGAGATTCATTGCAATAATACATGTGAAGTATTTAGAACAATGTGGCATAAAGAAAACACTCAATGAATATTAACTGTTATAACTGCTATTTGACAGAAACTAGTGAAATAACCCAACTATGAAAACATCTCCACTCAGAAACAACAAGCTGCATCATTAGTATAAAATATTTGTCTTTCTGCTTGTTGTAGCAAGTACAGTGCATCTAATTGAACTTGAAACTGAGCTGGCTCGGAGTGGGGAACAGGATGAGGATGTGTGTTTTTGTTTTAACTTTAATTTTCAATTAAATTTGTCATGAAGGTATGCCTTTTACTAAGGTTGAATTCTAACTGCTATTTGTGATCTCACAGAAACATAAATAATCTATATGTATTACAATTGGCCGGGTCTGGATTTTTTGTTTGTTTGAGGGGGGTATATTCTTGTTGTTTTGCTTTCTTTTAAATCAGAATGAAAAGGGCTGGGACCTTAGCTCAGTGGTAGAGCACTTGCTTCCCACCTGTGAGGCACTGGGTTCAATTCTCAACACCACATAAAAATAAATACATAAAAAGATATTGTGTCCATATACAACTAAAAAAATTTTTTTTAATTAGAATAGAACCGTGATTGGGGCTGGGGTTGTGGCTCAGTGGTAGAGTGCTTGCCTAGCACACTTGAGGCACTGGCTCAAACCTCAGCACCACATAAAAATGAAACAAAGACATTATGTCCATCTACAACTAAATAAATAAATAAATAAATATTTTTTAAAAGTGATGTTTTTAAATCAAACACTCTGTCATTATGAGATATACTCATTTTATCTGAATTCTGCATAACCTTTGGGCAGATTTTTAGATTGGAAAGCCAGGAAATAATTAAGAAATAATTAGTATCAATCTTTTAGTCTGGGGCATAACACATTTCTCTTTTGAGAATTTAAAAGACTATTTTAAAAGCCATTCCAAATCGTCTGTGTCTAAAGAGTTCACAGAGGTACATGGTTTACTTGAATTTATTAGAGCAGGCAGTTCTAAATAACTTTTGTTTTAAAAGGACACAGTTTTCAATATGCATTTTTTTTTAAATCTCAGAAAGTCTAATGTTTCTCTGTCTTCTAGAAAGGAGAGCTTATATTATTGTTACAAAGCTTCTGTTTTGTTCCATTGTTGCTTTTCTGCTAAGGTAGCTGAGTATATGTGACATCTAGGGGTTAGATGTCTAATATGATAATGTGTGAAGTAATTTAATACTTAATGAACATTTTTTCTTAGCTTTATAAAATTTCACTTACAAAAAGAAGTGATTTTAGTTGCTTTGTTCCCCTACTTCAGAATTGGGCAGAGTAGCATTTCATTGTTTAAATTAACAATTGACTTTTTTTTCATCATCTCTGGTTAGATTTTCATCTTAATCACATTTAATTGGCATGCTCTGCTAATACCCACCAATTACTAGTGATTGGTAGTAGGCTACATAACAGTCTCTACCTTCAGTGTAAAATTCTGCACACCCATTTTACAGACAAGTTGATGGAACTAATAAGATATTAAATGGTTTGTCTTGGTCAGCACAGGAAAGCTAGGGTATTGCTTTAGAAGCCCATCTTTCAACCATTTTATACACAGCCTTTCAGCTGTTCCATAGATACTGTTGCAACTGATCATGAGGCATGGATTAAAATTTCAAGYGGATAAATGCTGTATTTTTCCCTTCATATTTTAAGTCATTTACTTGATAAGAGAAGGAAAAGTTTTGAGAAGTTCTTAAATGTGAGCATTCTTTTTTCATATCTGCACAGGTTATTCTGTTTGGGGGGTTTTGGGGAGTTTTTTTTGTTTATTTTGGTGCCCAAGTATTTCTAACATAGGTATTTTTAGGCTTTATGTTATAAGCTACTAAATTGTGACCACAGTTTTTAGGTATTATGGACAAACAATTAAAAACTAGAGTTATAAAGATAGAATCTAGTGTTCTTGGGAAGAAATTAAAGAAAAATTAATCTAGCATTACCTGTTTGAAAGACAGTGTTGTGCCRAAGTTGTCATAATCTTGGTAAAATAGAAACTCAAAAAGTATGTAACTAAATATTATACAAATTGGTGGTTAAGTAAAATATCCCTCAGTATAAGGACACAAAAACCACATTTTTTTAAAACTGTCTCTTTTTTTTAGGCATAATTTTATTAGAATACCATCTGGTTTAAAGTTTCTTCATTAAATTTCCCTGAGATAGCTAAAATTGCTCACAGTGGTAATTAATCTTTCATGCTTATAAAACTAGGGACACTTGTTGGTAGATTGGGAAAGTTCTGGAGAGAAAAATATACTATAAGATCTACTTCTGCCTTTTAAAGTTATCACACATTTTTGTAAATGCATTAGTTTAGAAAGTTTTAGTATTCATCAGTGTATGAAAGGCTATACTCATATCCTATTTGAAAAAAAAAATTAAAAGATCCTATTTTTTGAAATCAGGTCCCTGTTGGTACGAATAATTYCTAATTTACGAATGCATCCTTGAAAGCTTTTAGAGGACTGCTTGCATTTCCTTATATTTTGTTGGCCGTGCTGGGGATGGAGCACAGGGCCTCACACATACTAGGCCAGCACTCTGCCACTGAGCTACACCAGTCCTCCTCATACACTTTCTCATGGTAATAGAGTTGGGTTGAATTAATACAATAATTTTAAAAATAATTTTTAAGTTTCCTGGAGTTCACTTTTAAAAATATCTACTAGATCTACTCACTGTAAAACTAATTGCTGATAGTAAAAGTGTTTGGAACTTTTGTAGCTAAAAATTAGCAAACACTTTGAAAAAATGAAATACTGTTAAAATATATATCTTAATTAGTTGAGACAAATAGAAAGATATTCAACATGTTTTTAAAATGTTTTGAAATATGTTAAAGTGTGTTTGATTTTTCTGCTAACTTACTGCTAAAAATATGGTGAGCACCAAATTTTTAGATTAAAAACTTAAATTTTTACTGTGTTATTGTCATAGAGAATATATGGATTATCTGTTAACTTTTCTTTGTTAGCTCACTTTCATATTGTGGAACTTTGTTATAAAGTCAAAAGTCACTTCTGCATATCTCATTTATTCAACATATCTATTAACTTTCATGGTAGCCTGAAATAAGCATTTTGACATTTTCTGAGTGTCCAGTAAAGCACCGTTTATATAGAGTTGGTTAATATCTTGAARCTACTATTATAATTATGGACATGTAAGCTTAAATCCTTTGCCTGTGCAGTCTTTACCAAATACACATATATATGTTTATATAGTCCTAAGTACTTTATTTATTTAAAATTTTCCAGAATTAAGATTGCTTTAGGTTCTCCATTAGAGTAAGATTTCTTAATTATTTTTCATGATTACATAAAGCAGTAGATTATTCCAAAGATTACAAATTTATAGAAGAGGGGGATATATAGAAAATACTAATGAAGGACTGGGGTCATGTGGAGTGCTTGCTTGCCTCGCACGTGTGAGGCAACTGGGTTTGGTCCTCAGAACCACATAAAAATAAATTTAAAAAAAAAAGGCATTGTGTCCATCCTCAGCTAAAAATATTTTTTTTAAAAAAAGAAAGAAAACGCTAATGATATAAGAATCTGATTAAGGCAATAGAACCTTATTCGTTGTTGCTTGTCCTGCAACAGAATTTTCTTGATTTACTTTAAAGCCTGGATAAGTGTTAATTTACAATACTAAGTTTAAACCCGTCATTACCTTATAATATTTGGGGCATCAAGTACTTAATTTTAGATATCTTTTTATTAATTCTCATAAAAATAGTTGAAATAGAAGTTTTTCTTTACCATCTAATTTAATAAATTAGTACATTCTAGCTTAAATTTTCCTTCTATTACTTGAAATGTTTTTCTGCACTACGTAAGTAAATATAATTCTTAGAAGCCATATCAGCTATATATAACATTTTTCTTAAGCAGTTTATGAATGGAATATCAGTTTTGCCAGTGTTGACTAAGTTAAATCCTTTTAATGCTGACTCTGAGGTAGGAGCCTTCATAATTCATCAACAGAATTATTTGTGTTCACCCAGATTTTATGACTAAAGATGAGAAGCATAAATCAAAAACTATTATGTCTATTATAATGTAATTATCTTTTTTATTATAGGAAAGATTTCAGTATCAAACTATGTTATTATCGCAATAACTCAGGCTTTGGTCCACTTACTTTATTACCTTAGAAATCTATCAAGAACACAAATGGTCAGATATCATAAAAAATGAAACAGATGGATCATTTCTTGGGACACCCTGAGCCATTTCCTTAAATAGTCCAAGTCCATCTTTTATTTTAAGGAAAATAAGGATAAAATGACTGTCCATTTCTCTAACAGTATGTCAAAGTGGTTTGATGTGTGGAACAAAGTGAAATACTTACCAAACATTATTGTCAAGAGGGCAATTGGCATCACAAATAATCCAACCAGCAAGTCAGCCACCGCCAAGGACATTAGAAAGTAATTGGTAGCATACTGTAGCTTCTTCTCCAGTGAAACAGCCAGAATAACAAGGATGTTTCCACCAATTGTGGGGATTATCACCACTAGTATCAGAAGAGCTGCCCAGCGCAGTTTATTTCCTTGTTCTTCAACAATCTGTTTCATTTCCTCTGGTATTGATTCTGTCTGTAATCCAGACTGGTTAGAAGAGATTAAGTGATCCAGTAAACTCTGCAGAACATGCTCAGGAATTCTGCTTTGTTCAGACATTCTATAAGAGAGAGCCATTCACCATTTTTCTCTGATTCAATCCATTTGGACACTAGTCAGCATGGTCAGTAGCTAAGCTGGTCAACTACTTTAAGGTGTCATACCTATGCCAAACGATCCATGCCAAAGTTGACTCCTTCCTTTTAAAAACAAGTTGAAGTTCTGTTAAGATGAGAGTATACACACATCTGTCCATGCTTGTAATTAAGACCTCAAATTTTTAGTATTTCCTAGAGCTTAGATTTTAGAAGGCTCAGTGAAAGATACCAGTAGCTGAGAGAAAATACAGTATTGGTTTCTTTCATTTTTTTTTTGTATTTTTGCTGCAGTTGTAGAGTTATATTTGAACTTGATTGCCAGAGAGATGCCCCTAAATATAAGATATAGATATATAAGTTGCATTATTTATTTCCAAAAAGCAGTAGAAACACTTGAACATAGCAACTAGGCCCTCCCTTCTCAATAGGCCCATTGTGCTATTGTGACAATGCAATTAGTTCCCATAAAAAATATTAAATTCCTGACTTGCCTCAAAGTTAATGATAGGGGAGAGATACATTATTTTTTCAGTGGCTTATAATAAAAAGCTAGGTGTTTCCTGACCTGTACTTTAAAAAGAATTTTTAAAAAGTCAAAGCACTAAATAGTTTTGAATAGAACTTTAGTCAAAGTTATGTTACACGCTAGCCACCCACCTAGGAAGAATTTAAGCCTACATAAAGTCAAAATAAATGATTTATCAGCTAGAATCCTTACATGCAATTGAGTTGTCTTATTGGGTTTATCTTAGTGCTGATTTAAATGCCATTTTTTATAAGCATTTTGGAATCCCTTTCGTTAGAAGAGAAAAATATTAATAGGATCCAAAAAATTTTATCTTTCACAGCATGCTACTTCGAGAGGTTTTTTTAAATTTAATCATTAGATTTGCCGAACTTGAACCAGTTCTTTTTGTTGTGTTTTAAGTACTAATTTTTTCCTTAACCTTCCTAGTTCCTTGAGAAGGGAGGCTAAGACCATGATTAAGATATTTGTTCATTATATTTACAAATCCCATATTAAAAATCTCCCCTTTAACATAAGTAAATTTTTCATTTTGGTCCTTAAACCACTGAATATAAATAAAAGATTATGAAAGTAGAGTTCTTAAAGATTAAGTAAAAAAAACAACAAAATCCCTTAGATAAATCTATTTATCTGTAAATACRTACCTCTCATTTGCTTGTGATTTTCCCAAGTGTGTTGTCGTTGCATCTGTTCAGCGCTTGTTGCTGTGACTGAAATCCTCCTCCCATTGACTTATTTTGAGCCTCTAGCCCTGGAGCTTGCAGGCAGTGAAACAAGCGTGTTGCATAGCTGTAAGCATGCCAGGGAGGTTATTTCCTCTCTGATACATTCATTTTTAGAGCATGGCAACATTCATTGTAATTCATAAAGCTGCCAGTTAAGCGTGTCAACCCAGTTCATAACCCTTATTCAAGTAATATTCTGAAGAGCTCTGATAATTTGGGGGACTGTAATAAACTCTGTTATTTTAGCTTAAGATAGTTTTATTTAGGATTAAGCCTGGGCTGTTTCCTCATTGGAGAAAAAAATCTAAAGATTCTAGAGCTTTTATTTTATGCAGATTCTATCCTGTTAGCCGTATAGTGTTTTCCACAGTTCTCATTTCTAGCAGTGAAACACGATTCTTATCCAGCTCTTATGCCTTTGCTTGGAGCACATTTAATTTGCTCTGGCTGCAGCCTTATATAGAAGAGCACAGAAAGATCTGAATTCCACATGTATACATAGGTTTTAGCAGAAACTTTGTCACTGCTCTTTTTTAAATAGCCTCTGGTTTGAAGAGTTGGTTCATTGGCAGCTTTTCTCTCACAGATTTCACATTGGGGAAAGTATTATATGTAATGATACATTTTTGCTTTATTTCAGAAAATTGTTATGTAGATCTTAATAGTATGCTCTTAAGCTTTTCCAAACTGTATGTTAGCATTTTTAAAATCATAGAACACTCAGATTTTTAAATTATTTAATTATTTCTAGATCAGCGATGACATTTGTGCCCTTTTGCTGCTTGAATTTTTTACTCTATAGCTTGTATTAAAAGCCATTGGAATATATTTAGTTTATTTCAGTTCTGAGAACTTCAGTTTTATTCAGTATTTTTTAAATTCAGTATTTTTTTAAATTCAGTATTTTAGAAAAAAAAATTTGTTCAGAATACTAGATGAAAACAAATGAAATAATACTCATGAGCAATCAGATGGATTTTAATGTGATAGAACTTCTATTCAGGAATACAAAATATTTTTAAACACTGCTTTACTCTGAATCATAATTTGGTATCTGCTTATGCAGGCAGGTAGTGGTCTGCAAAAGAAAATAACGTCAGGTTGGAAATAGCAGCACCATTATATCCAATGAAAAGACCTGTATGAAAGCCTTTGTTGCTTTTTGCATTTTTTTTTTTAAATATTTTATTTATTTATTTTTCTCGGCGGACACAACATCTTTGTTGGTATGCGGTGCTGAGGATCGAACCCGGGCCGCACGCATGCCAGGCGAGCGCGCTACCGCTTGAGCCACATCCCCAGCCCGCTTTTTGCATTTTTTTAATACCTTTATTTTATTTATTTTTATGTGGTGCCAAGGATCGAACCCAGTGCCTCACACGTGCGAGGCGAGTGCTTTACCGCTGAGCCACAACCCCAGYCCAAGCCACAACCCCAGCCCACTTTTTGCATTTTTAAATTGGTTTAATGTCTAAGGAACAAAACTAGTTAGAACCGCCACTTATTTGGTAGTCTCAAGTTTATCAGAAACATAGCTGAAAGTCAGAAAGCAAGTAAGTATATATATAGAAGAATAGATGAGTTGGCAAATAACTAAACCTGTGCTCTTTAACAACCCCATGCACTTTAAGTAGAAGATAACCTGTGAGTCCATATTCTTAAGTATTTTTACATATTCTCCATATACACACATTTGTTTCTCCCAAACCCTTTAAGGAATGTAACATTTTGGAAATAAATCTGAATGGTACAAAAGAATATTCATTGATAAATTTGTTGACAGTTCTAACAAGTATGTTTCTCTGCATATTCCAGATTAGTGTAACAAATTGAAGGGTGGACATGTACTTTGATAATAGGCTAGGGGTGTGGCTCAGTGGTAGAGTGCTTCATCACCAACCATTGTTGAAGAATTGCCTGTCTTCTTCTGTTTTTTACCACACACATAGTCTTTAACTCTTAAAATACAGTTTTATCCACAAAACAACTCTTGCAAAGTCACTAACATTAGTTGATGATATGCACTGTTCGGCATTTGTTGACTGATCAGTTTTTAAAACTTGAACTTCAGGGATAGGGAGATATATATATATACACACACACATACATATACATACATATCTCAGTTGGTAGAGTACTTGCCTCCTATGCACAAGGCCCTGGGTTCAGTCCCCAGCACCACAAAACAAACAAACAAAAAACCTTAATCTTCTTTTTGTCTTCTTTTTCTTTAAGAGAGAGAGAGAATTTTTTAATATTTATTTTTTAGTTTTCGGTGGACACAACATCTTTGTTTTATTTTTATGTGGTGCTGAGGATCGAACCCAGCACCCYGTGCATGCCAGGAGAGCGCACTACCGGTTGAGCCACATCCCCAGCCCCTTCTTTTTTATATCTTTGTTTTTATGTGGTGCTGAGGATTGAACCCAGTGCCTCACAAATGTGAGACAAGTGCTCTTCTACTGAGCTACAAACCCAACCTAATCTTTATCTTCTTTTGGCTTCAAAGACACACTCTCCTGGTTCTTGTATCTTTCGAATTTTTTTCTGATTCTTTTGTTACATTCCCTTAATATGTAGATTACCTGCCACCCCARGTTCCTGTCCTCAGTTGATTTTCATCTTCCTGTTTATTTTCAGTCACTTTTATAGTTCCCATAAACTCATTGAAGAACACTCCTAGTGCTATTTTCATACCAGTGACTTAAATCTGTAGTCATGAAATGGGACAAGCAGCCTGTCTAAGAGTTAGGAGATCTTAGACAAACGTTCTTAATTTCTCTGAGCTTTAATTTTTGCATGTGTAGAAAGATGACGTAACCTGCTCTGTGTTTATCATATCCCAGTTGGGCATTTCCTCTTCTGACCTCACGGGCTGTTTCTTCATAGTTGTCTTTGCTCGTTTTGTTTATCTCCTCAACCTCTTAGTGTTGGAGTTCCTTTAGTACTTACTTTTGGATCACTTTTTCTTTCTGTCTGCACTTAGTGATATCTACTTTTACAGCTTCAGGTACCATCTACTGAAACTCCCAAATTTGTATCTGTAGCCCAGACCTACCTTTCACTTAATGTTTAACCCATTTTCTACCATGGTCCCAGATGTGGAACACCTTAAAAACTCAAATACAGTGTATAATATATAATRTAATTACATAATAGTATAACAACAATATAATATCAATTGATATAACATGTAAGCTCTAGATTATGATTTCTAATCTGTTTTAATGCACCTGTGTCAATTTTACTAAACTATTTGCAAAATTGAAAGCCTGGGGCTTAATGGAATACTCAGTATTTCCCTTAGATGTCGAAATAACATCACAGACTCAAAATATCCAAAACTGAACTTCCGCTCTTCCCTTCCAGGTCTGCTCTTCTCACARTATCTTTATGTCGGTTAATGGCAGTTGCATCCTTTGAGTCTCTTTCTCTTACATCCTGTGTTTTATCCATCAGGAAATTCTGTTGATTCTACCTTAAAAATGTATACCAAATTCAAACTCTTTCCCTCACCTTTACTACCACCGTATCCACGTCACCATTGTGTCTTGACTGAGTTTCTAAAGTATCCTCTCAAGTGGTCTTCCTTCTACCTTTACCACCCTCTATTTTTAATATGGAAGCCAAAATGGCCCTTTTTAAACAAGTCAGGTAACAGCATTCTGTTTCTCAGAATCCCCTAATTGACTCTTCTTTTTACTCAAAAAATAAAAGCCAAAAATTCCTGACCTATAAAATCCTACATGCTATAACCCTTCTTTACCAATAGCTCTTTCCCTTCTTCACTACCCTCAAACCTTTGGCCTCCTTGCTGCTCCCTAAACATGCCAAGCATCCACTCTGGGGCTTTTCGTGAGCTATTTCATTCACCCAGCACACTTCTCCGGAAAAACCATATAAATTTGTTGACAATTCTAACAAGTATGTTTCTCTGCATATTCCAGATTAGTGTAACAAATTGAAGGGTGGACATGTACTTTGGTAATAGGCTGGGGGTGTGGCTCAGTGGTAGACTCGCTTCCTCGCTGCCTTCTTTTCTTTGCTTATATATCTCCTTCTCAGGCTGGGGTTGTGTCTCAGTGGCAGAGCACTCATGTCACACCTGGGAGGCACTGGGTTCGATCCTCAGTAGCACATAAAAATAAATAAACAAAATAGAGATATTGTGTCCATGAAAACTGAAAAAATATTTTTTTTAAAAAAATCTCCTTCTCATTGGTGCTCTAACCACTCTAATTATGCTACGCAACGATTATCTCTTCTCCCTCTGAGACTCTTTATGCTTATTTCTGGTGTACTTGATGGTATCCCTTGAGTCTGTTAGGCTCTGTTCTTTTTTTTTTTTTTTTTCCTTTCTGTTTCTCAGACTGAATAATTTCAACCTATCTGCAAATTTACTGCCTTTTTCTTCTGTTAGTTTTGCTGTTGAACCCACTCTAGTGAATTTGTCAAGTTTATTGGACTTTAAAGATTCAGAATTAGTTTCATCTTTTTGGTACTGGGGCTTGAACCCAGGGGCACTTAACCACTGAGCCACATCCCCAGCCCTTTTTAATATTTTATTTAGAGACAGSGTCTCACTGAGTTGGTTAGGGGCTCACTAAGTTGCTGAGGCTGGCTTTGAACTTGTGATCCTCCTGCCTCAGCCTCCCCAGACACTGGTATTACAAGTGTGGTCCACAGCACCCGGCTTAATCTTTTTTTTTGTAATTTTTCTCTCTTTATTGGAAATTTTGTATTTGGTGTTACATTGTTCTCTCATTTTCTTTAGTTATTTACCCCTGCTTTCCTTCAGCTCTTTGAATATTTTTAGATAGTTGACTTAGATCCAATGCTTGAGCTTCTTCAGGAACAATTTCTGTTGATTTCTTTTTCTGCTATGAATGGGCAGTATTTTCTTATTTCTTCACACACCTCAGAATTTTGTGTTGAAAATTGGACATCGTGAACATTATAATGTGACAACTCAGGAAAGATTCTCTCTTTTGTTATTGGTACTTATGCATTGCTGTTTAATGACTTTCCTAAAGTATTTTTATAAAACCTGT